TGGTATTTGATCCCTTGGTGGTTCAACTCTGTGAGGTTCGAGCCTGGGGATTTCGACCCTCTCTTGATTCTCTAAGTTGGGGTCAGGTAGGTTTCCTAAGTCCTGTCGTGGAATGTTTTCCACAGTAGCTGTGTTCCTAACAGCAAGTGGTACACCTATAAATTCAGTCAGCCGTGTTATTTGTACTGCTAACTGTTGATTGGTTTGGGTAGTATTTTGGATTAAAGGTTGAATGATTTCACCCATGGTTTGAGACAAGGTTTGAACCATTTGCAAGTTACTTTCATCCATTTGATGTCTCAAACACGTAACTGAAGTATTGGTTAGATTAAGGCCCTGTGTGGAATATCCCAAGCCTAAACTTTGGGGGTTTCGACCAATGTTCACTCCAGATCCTGATCCTTGTAATGGCGAAGCCATTGCATTGTCTGAGAATATTGGGGGACCATTTTGGAGACCATACATCACAGTTGTTGGCATTCCATATGGAGGGTTTCTTGGTAATAGTTGTGAAAACCCTGGAGGGACAAACTGCCTAGACGTCGAATTTCCTCATGGCGGAGTCTGGGGATTTGACGCTTGAGGCCTAATATATTCCACCACCGGTTGGGTGTAAGTCCTCATGCTTGTTGACATAAGCCCCAACACTGATGGTACGGGTTCCAGTCTTGTAGGAGGTACTATTTGCTCTCCGGTCGAAGGTATTGAGGGTGGAACCATGTCATTCCTCAATCCTTCGTGAGGACTAATGGTGCTCGACTGAGAGTTAGAACCATCTCCTCGAGGATTAGGGTTGTTTAGCTTATTTGTACATGTTGTCATATCCCTAGTATACTCTTTTCTTGGTCTTTCTTCGTTTATAGCAGCGATTTTGCCACTTCTTAGTAACATATAACGAATCTTTTACGAAAGACAAATAAAACTGCAGTTTTGCAAGTTTTGCAAAACTATAAAAAAAATCTTTTAGCACTGTCCCACTGGGCGTGCCATTTTGTTTCCCTTGAAAAATGAAAAACAACTGCTGATCTTCAAAATCTAACTTTGGTGACTCACAAGATCGATCAGATTGATCCTAGGACATGTGCTAAAGGTTTTATGTTTTGAAATCCATCTAAGTTGCACATTTCGACAGTGTTTAGAAAAAGGCTTTAATCATAAAGGTGTTTGTTCGACTGAAACGAAAGAGAAGATAGGAATTTAGAAGGAAAGAAATAGGGATCTTAGAAAGGGATTTAGGATGAAGATAAAGTTAAGTACATAGAAGGGGGTAGATTGTAGAAAAGCAAATAAACACTTTGTAAAGTTAAGCAGATAAATTAAACTTCATTGAAAAGTAAAAAAAATGGTGTGTTTATATCATGTACATTCTCCTTGCTACTCTTTTCTCTACACTCGGATACTTTGAGTAAATTTAGGAGTGACTTGCACAAATAGTAAATTACAACACACTGAATTCTATGTCCAAGACTTCTATTTATAATAGTAAAAAATAACTACCAATAACCCCTTAAAGCCACCAACTTCCGACAAGTGTCATAATGCATGAAGTCCTTTGCCAAACGAATGCCACTTGTCCCTCTTAGTCATAGGAAAGCATAACTACTCCCTCCATTATTTAAATTTCAAAAACTTCACTAATCTCCAGCCAACATCTCGGTCGAAGGCTATTTCTTTTAAGATTCAAATTTTTCTCTAAGTCCCACAGTATTTGGCTTCCCAATCGAAGGTCTCAAGGCTTTAAAAATCTCTTCACCTCTCAAAAGACTTTAATATTTTATTTAAATATTTTAATTTATATATATGTGGCGTCAAATTTGTGAGCTAACACCCATCCTAGCCTTAGGACCCGAGTCGCTGTACTCGTACTTAGGCGTCCCGCCGTGGACACATCCCAACCCTTTCAAACCTTAAGATTTAAGTCGTTGTACTCATGCTTAGGCGTCCTGCTGTGGACATCCACCCATTCATCCTAGCCTTAGGATTAGGAGTCGTCGCACTCCATGTAAGTTCTCGTCGTAGATTACTTACTTCACCCTTTTCAACTCTACAACGTAGAATCGAAGTCGCCGCACTCCAAGTAAGTGTTTCTCTATGAACGTTTATATCCCCCTGGAACCTTGACCACGGTCAAGAAGTTCATCTTCTTCCCTCTGTAAGGGGAACTACGGTTACTCTGATTCCATCCCCTACCTCAGATACGTAGGCACAAGATGCGAATCTTGGCGAGTATACTTAGGACTAACCCCTTAGATTCTTCTCCCCACCCTTTAACCCTTAGTATTACCCTTAAGCAGATAACCATAACAATAGCATTTAAACAAAAGGTTCCTGTAGAGTACTACAGAAGTTTAGGATGCTAATACCTTCCCTAAGCTTAACCAACCCCTGAACCCTAGATCTTTCCCTGCATTGTGTTTACAATGCAAAAAAAGGTTTTTCCTTTCTTTAACCTTTCCTTCAGATAAATCAAAGACCGGTTGTGAATCAAGATGTGGTTCAAATTAATCAATAATTTGATATCCTATTCTCACTGTAGCAACCACATACTTGTTTTTCTCATTAATCTATTGTTAATGTAGTTTGTCTAGATGTCGTACGAGGGTCTCGACCATCAGCCCAACGCCAATGATATTGTCGCGTGGACAGCTAAAACCTCTATTATTCAGTTCACTATAGTGGAGATGTACCTAAGTGATCGGATGAAACTGCAGTTCAGGATGCATCAGGATATTTCAGTCGCTCCGACGTCTTTGGGAGACTGACATCAATTTAGGGTGGATACTCAATGGAGTGTAAATCATTGAGAGGACTTTGCAAAAAAGATGTGTCTGCATTGGAAGAATCGACATTGACACATCTAAACCGACCCTATTGTGGAATAGGCTAGACCAAGTTATCAATATATGATTTGATTTAGGTTGGTTACAACATCACAACAATTTGCGTCTGAGCCGACATATTTGATTGACCCAAGGTAACATGCTTCTTCCTCAAACACACAACAACAACTCAATGCCCAACATCAAACACCATTTTATGCCCAACATCCAACTATGCTCACCCAATTAATCTTTCAAAACCGCAACCCATACATGCCACTAACCCAACCACAACAACAAGAGCTTTACCCCTACCGTTAGTCTCTCGAAACCGACACCACTTCTGTCTATAGCCTTGATAACTCTTTCGACCCTACCCCATCCATCTATAGCTCCGATAACTCTTTCGACCCCACACCATCCAACTATAGCCCCCCACGAATGAACACACAATCTTCATACCATTAAAATATATATCCATTTTTTAACTACCAAACTCCACAACAACCATTGCATCGTTTCCAAACCGATTCAATGTATCAATTCGGACAACCATATCATTCACACCTGACCCAACTTCCCAGTCCCAACTACGAAAACATGGACATTAAACTGAATTACGGAAGCGCCGTTGGCAGCAGCCCCCCCGACTATTAGGGTAAAATACTTCAAAATTTATCTGATACGCCGAGGCCATCTTAACAAATACTTCTTCCACAAGTCAACACGTAAATGCCAAATACACCTCAACAAGCTCGTGGTAGACTTCGATGCCGCGCGAATCCTCCCCAATGTGGAACCGATGATCGTTTTGATATATACGGTCATTGATTTTCCTTTTTTCATATGTTGTACACTATTTTCGCTTTTTTATAAATATTATAATTTTTCATTATTTTTTTTTGAACAAAATATTAATTAATATAAAAAAACAAAAAAAATAGGACCAACTGAGACGCCATATGGTAAGACGCCTCCTCTGCAATGTTAGAGCACCTTTGTATGGTGGCGTCATATGGAATGACGACTTTGTGCACCGCTTCACCCATCAGCCATTTTATATGGCGTCTCAATGTTAATTTATAGTCACTTTGAATTTTTTTTTTAATTCTCAGTTAAAATTGTATTTTTATTGAAAACGATAATTATTTGAAAAAAAAGTTTTCAATAATGACCATCACTAAAACCTAAGAGGCCAAACAGAAAAAACAATACATCTTCGTGGGTAAATTATCTAAGGGAAGCCGGCATTCATTATTTTTGGAAAATTAGGATGCTTAAATTAGAAGCCATTTGATTTAATGCCTCAGGAAGAAACTACAATCAACAAGACTTTCTGTCTTTATTACGTGGACCACATAATTTATTATTCTAGAGTGTTCCATGAAGCCCTATACAAGTGGCTTAGATTCCAAGATCTAAACTTTGCTTGATGTGTACACACCCCACCCCCAATACGTAATCCGTAAGCATTTATCATTGCGATCCCGAAAAGACAAAATGCAATGAGTTACTTACAGCATCAGTTTTAGCTAATAGGAACTACTCCATTTCATTAGTTTCACAACAGACCTGTAGCACACTAATACTATAACATACTCTGTGTTTGATATTAAGTTAAATTGTACAGTATATACCAATTAGAAAAAGTGTTAAAATATGGTAGTTCATTTTGTGTTTATACTTTGTTCAACATTTCTATTATTAATCAATGAGGTGGTTATTCCCTCAAGAGTTTCACTCAAATACCAAAGTTATGCTGTACATCAGTGAAAACTTTTACTCGAGAAAATATAAAGTTGTTGGTCACTCAATATATTTTGGTGTCCCATATGCAGTTTTCTGTTGTCAGACATGATTTAATGAACTCTGAGCTAAAACATTTTAAACAGGTAAATGTTGTGGAACAATAAGTAGCTAAGTCTGATTTTACATAAATATATTCCTATCCTGCATGACAAACTTCAAATGTTACTTTCCACTCTTGGCCCTTACAACGCAACAGTCAATAATCCACAAAACAATCTTCAAAACTTATCTCCCTTTTTCAAATCATTAATGAAATCAGAAAGCATGTGCCATTGTAAAATCTGCATATACAAAATATTATTCTTGACACAAACACAGACAACAAGAACCTTAAAATCATCTATATGACATACATATATGAACAATCTGCAACTAGCTTTTCACGTGTACAGTGTCAATGTTAGTACTATTTGACAACGCCTGGTTCACCCATTGAGGAAGTGGTGCACGTAGCATAATATGAACACCAGTGACAGGGTGATCAAACGACAACGTTTCAGCATGAAGGTGATGACCATCATGAACCCTACCTTTCCATTCATAAACACCTTCATATTTCACATCCCCAATTATCGAAATCCCTAAATATTGACAATGCAACCGAATCTGATGCGTTCTTCCACTTTGAGGATAAGCTCTCACCACTATCTCATCACCACCGTCCATTTTCACCGCCTTTTCTTCAATAACAACCACACGACTCCCTTCAAACCCAGTTTCACAAACCTCCCTGAAACTTCCTTTTCCGTTAACGGATAAAACCTCGAAAGAAGTTTCCATTTCGCGTACACCCGATCCACCCGGTAACCTGCAACCGACGTCGGAAAAAGCGTAAACTCTCCACGCGCCGAATTTAGACCTACCGTGACCGGATCTGACCGTTATCGTTTCCCAATTAGGTATAACGCCGGTGCAGAGAGCGATGTAGGTTTTTTTAACTTTGTGATCGGTGAAGGCTTTAACGAGGTTTGAAGCTACCTTGTGTGATTTTGTTATAAGCATAATGCCGCTTGTGTCGCGGTCGAGTCGGTTAGCGAGATGAAGCTCCGGCGGTGCGGTTTTTTGTGATTGAAGGGAGGAGAGAACGTTGTCGCAGTAAATTCCTTGGGGTTTGTTGACGGCAAGGAGCCATTCGTCTTCGTAGATGGTGTGGGTTTTTGAGAGGGAGAAGAGGTCTGAGTTTGAAGAAGCTATTGTGGCTCTGTTCAGTTCGAGTTCTTTTGAGATTGCGGGAAGTGGAGGGGATAATGGTACAGGGTAACTCTCGGCGATTATAGGGGTATTTGCGGAAATATTAGAATGTTTGCTTTGAGGAGACGCTGACATGGCTACGGCGGCGGGTGAGGTTGGTGTAGGCGGCAGATTGCACGGATTTCTGAGATGGTGATAGTGGTGGTGTTGGATATAGCATCCGGATCCGGATCCCAACCACATCGCCTGCTTCATAATGGCCTAAGTGGGCTAAGTTTATTTATTTCTTTATTGTTAATGTGTGGGTTACTAACTACACCTTCAAAACATCATTTTCACCACACCCTACCTCCTTTTCTCTTCATCAAATTACAAAATTTACCTCTCTAATTATTTTTTTTTGGATAATGTTAACTTGTGCCCTAGGGCACACAAGTTAAAAAAATATATGTACAGAAAGTTTGTATTTAAAACATCAATAAAAAATTATATTTTTTTATTTTTATTAATAATAATGCACAATTTTTAAGATATTATTTCTACATTTAATTTTTAATTTGTGCTCCTAAGATACAAGTTATCATTATCCATTTTTATAAGCAGTTGTCATTCAAGAACTAGAGAAAAGTTTATTAGAGGAAAGTTAAATCGGTAAAAATATATATATATATTTAAAGTGACTTTTACACTCTAAAACATACCACTTTCAAGACAAGAATTTAATAAACAAAAGACAATTCTCAAAATTAAAGAGAATATCATTATAGATTTCACATAGCTTATAACCATATCAATGTGGAAATTTCTCTACCTTTTGAATTTCGTCATTCCTTGCGATGAAAAATGAAACTAGATAAGCACCTTTCTTGTCCCCCTTCCTTCTAGTTATCTTAATTGTAAACAACTCCCCACAACTTTTAAGAGATTACACAGTCAATAAATAAATGATGGTCGTCTTCATCGACTTGAAAACGTAAAGCACAACAATTGTTATTAACATAATCTCTAGTTGAGAGTTTATTCAAGATCAACCTCCAGCCTAATATCAAAACCTTCAATGGAACTTCATATTCCACAAGTTTGATAGCCCAATTTTCTGGTTCTTGTTTATAAAAACATCCTTGTCTCTTCTCTCTAACACTGCATAACACGACTTGACCGAAAAAATCCTACGGTTCATTAGCTTCCTAAATGAAGTTGTCTTTTACAGATGGATCAGACTCCTCATACTGCAACAAATCATTTATTTCTTTTGTCTCATCAAAAACAACACTCCCACAATCTTCTAAGTTAGGTTACCAACTTCATAATCACTCATGCGCATTCCACACTCCACCTTCTGCCACATCGATATAAGATAGCACAAGTTCTTCATAGACCTTTGAGTAAGTCTATTTCAAAGATTGATCTCCCGTCTATTTACTATGCAAAAATGCGATATTCCTCCTTACTCCCAATCTGCAACAAAAATTATTAGAGAATATGTTTTTCTTTGAACCAACTTTAGCATCCAAGGTAACTAAATCTCTCCATCATATTGAGTTACTTTTCCTAATCATTATTTTATCATTGATAAACATAAGCTTTTTAGGGTTTTTATATCTATGCTTAAAAATTTCATACAACAATGCATCTTTCTCATCCAATATCCTCCACTTCCATTTTAAGAGAAATTTTTTGTTAAAATTTTATAAATTCTTTAGGCCAAGACCCCCCCCCCCCCCCCCCACACACACACACACACATTCTTTGTAGCTAGGCAAACCCCTTTTCCCAGCTTATCCAATAAACTCTTTTGTTGATCTTTGAGCCGCCCCACAGAAATCTAGCTTGAATGCTTTTGATTTGATTAATCACCTTGCATGAAGCTTTGTAAAAGGATAAGGTGTATAACGGAATAGAGTTAAGAACAAAATTAATCTTCACCACTTTACTTCCTATAGAAAGATGTTTACTCTTACAAGTAAATAATCTTCTCATGTTATCAATAACATCGCTCCAGATTTTCACTCTTCTAGGACTATCTCCCACCTTCACCCCAAGGAACTTGAAAGGCATGGACCCTATACTACAAGACAGAAAGGAGGATGCTGTAATCATCATATTATTCTTGATATGAATCCCAAAAGGCTGACTTTTACTGAAATTGGCTTTTAGACCTGTCACCAATTGGAACACCTTTAAAATAGATTTTACACACCAAATATTTTTCTAGCCACCATCACCTAATATCAAGGTATCATCAGAAAACTGTACAATATCTAAAAACACTTCCTCATTAACATAAAAACCATTGAACTCCCCCACCTCCACTGCTCTTCTCGTCAACTTAGTGAGGTCTTCCATAACTAACACCACCAGAAAAAGATACATAAAATCCCCTTGCCTCTAACCCCTATATACTAAAAAGTCCTTCATGGAACTTCCATTAACAATAATAGACATAAAGGTACTAAAGATATAAGCCTTCATTTGATTCCACTTGACACCAAAACCCATTCTTTTGAAGAGGAACCTGAGATAGTTCCAATTCACACTATCATGGGCATTTTCATAGTCCACTTTCACCACCAAACAACTCATTATATCTCTCTTAGCCAAATCCAAAGCTTCATACACGATGAAAAATCCATCCAAGATGTTCCTCTCTCAAATGAAGGCAATTTGGTTTTTGGATACTAACCTTCCAACCACTTTTCTCAATAGAAAAGCCAATAACTTAGATATTATCTTATATATACACCCAAATAAACAAATTAGTCTATAATCAAATAAAGATTGAGGGCTTTTGATTTTGGGAATGAGAGCTATGAAATAGGTTTTGCAAGCTTTAGTGAGCCTCGCCTTTGTATGAAAGTCTCTAATACACTTGAAACCATCTTCCTTGACCACCTCGCAACCTTGTTCTAAAAACTCAAAGGTAAAGCCATCAAGACATGTGCTTTTGCTACCATCACACCACCATACTACTGTTTTGATTTCCTTTTTAGAAAAAAGGTTCTTCTAACATAATTATCTTGTTTCAGGTAAAGATTCAAACTCCAAACCCTCTAACATAGGTATGTTCAGACTATCTTCTTTGAGAAAACTCTCAAAATGCCTCCTTATTTCAACTTTTACCTCTTGCTTCCCTCTACCAAGCCAATTGGAGAATTAAGCATATTGATATTGTTTATTCTAACTCTCTCTTTTAGTAATTTATAAAAATATCTTGTGTTTTGATAACCATCTTTTAACTAAGATTTTCTACATTTTTTTTATCTAGGAAGACTTTCTTTATACTCCAAATCTCCTTAGTAATCCTAGCTCTTTCTTTCATAATTTTGGCTATTGAGCATCCATTACTAATAACAAGCAGATTATCAAGATCATTTAACTCCACTACAGAATCTTCCACTTTAGAGTTTATCCACCGAAACACGTTCTTATTCCACCATTTCAATATGCTCTTTAAATTATTTAACTTCTCTTTGAGGACAAAGTCACCTCTTATTGAAACTTTAAAATTCGTCCATTCTACCTAAATGAAATCTGAAAAACTCTTATGTCCAATATAAAAATTATTGAACCTAAAAGGCTTAGGTGCCCAATTTTAGTAATTGATTTTCAATCACATGGGACAATGATCAAATAAATCCCTTTTCCCTGCCACCTGAGCAAAAACTTTCCAATTTGAAATTAGATTTTATGATAACAAAAATCTATCAATTATGCTCATTGCAGTCCCTCATCCATTGAACCAAGTAAATCTACCACCATAACAAAAATCTATTAAGTATGCTCATTGCAGTCCCTCTTTGCTGCTAACATCATTGACCCCCCTTCAAAACCACTATCAAATATCCCCACAACTTTCTTCTCTTCATGACACAACATGGAGCATAAATATTGACAAAATTATACTCTAATCCCTTCCAAAAAGCATTAACTCCAACATAACCCGCCAACACTCCCACAATATTCTAAGTTAGGCTTACAATTCCACAATCACTCATGCCAATTACATGATCCGACTTCTATCATACCGATATAAGGCAGCACAATTTCTTCATACACCTCTGGGTAAGCCTTTTTCAAAGATTGATCTCCCATCCATTTACTCTGCAAAAATGTGATATTCCTCCCTACTCCTAATCAACAAAATAAATTATCAAAGAAGATGTTTTTCTATGAAACAACTTTAGCATTCAAGGTTACCAAATATCTCCACCATATTGAGTCATTTTTCCTGATCATTCTTTTATCATTGATAAACATAGGCTTTTCAGGGTTTTTACATATGTGCTTAAGAATTCCATACCACAATGCATCTTTCTCCTTCAATATCCTCCACTTCCATTTTAAGAGCAATGACTTGTTAAAAGTTTCTAAATTCTTTAGGCCAAGACCCCCTCTTTCTTTTTATCCAAACACCCATTTTTTCAGTTTATCCAATGAACTCCCTTATTGTTCTTTGAGTCACCCCTTAGAAATATAGTGTTCTAGACTAGCCCAATGGCTAGGCATGACCCAATCCACTTCTGCACCCAGAATGATCCAATAGCCCCAGCCCTGCCAGTTGAAGGCAAAATGAAGCTTTCTCTCCTCTCCCCCTCTGCCGAGGAAGGCTGGCCAGCTGACCACCAAGATCAGTTTCCCCTCGTCACATTCCTACCCTTCACGCACGGTCTTACCATTCAGAAATTGTCATGACGCCTATGCCCGCGACCGCGCCCTTGCCTGTGGCAACGGCTAGTTTCGGGCACCTCTGCCCGTCCCAATGACTAGTTTCTAGCAGTTACTTATTCTTTGGGAGCAATTATATCGCCTGGAAAATAGGGACCTGTTACGGTTAGAATATGATATCAAATTATTAATTAATTTGAATCACATATTTAGTTCACAATCGCTCTTTGATTTATCCGAAGGAAAAGGTCAAAAGAGGGAAAACCTAATTTTGCATCGTAAAGACAATGCGGGGAGAGATCTAGGTAAGGGGTTGGTTAAGCTTAGGGAAGGTACTAGCACGCTAAACTTCTATAGTACTCTACAGGAACCTTTTGTTCATTTTTACTATTTTGCTTTATTATTTGATTTAGGGTTATACTGAGCTAAGGGATAAGAGTGACAAGAGACCTAAGGTAGGGAATGGAATCAGAGTAATCGTAGTTCCCCTCGAAAGGGAGGTTAGAAACTTCTCGACTATGGTCAAGGTTTCAATGGGGAATAAACATATTTTAAGGACACGCTTACGTGGTGTCTTGAAACTCCTATTT